CATGATATTAACAATATGTCTCATGTGTTCATTTATTTAAAAACTTCTTTGTGGTTATTTGTTTGAGTTATAAAATGTAATATGAGACATTGCTTAATTTGTTTATTCACAAGAATTGATTGTGTTATTAATAAAAGTATTCAAAGTATTTGTGAACAATCACTTGTTTGTATGCATAAATAAAGTAATAATGAAGTAGTAAAATGTTTAATCATAATATAAAAATCTATAAGTTGTGATGAAACTAATAATTATTTTATACAGAATAAACTGAAGAAATATGAATTTCTATTTTATTCACACGTTTAACAATACTATCCTATTCACTAATTTTTAATCATTGATTTTCTTTTTCTTCGTTCTTTTTTATCATAACAATCAATTTCATTGTTATCTACTTCACCAACAAACATCTCTTCATAAATTATTAGTCAAAAGTACTTTTATTGTTCTTTACATATTTATATTCTTATTGGATTGAGTTTATCTGAACAATTATCTGCATAAACAAGCTTGACTACTATAAGAGTCTGTTATTACAAAACACACAACAATTAGTCATTGTGTTGTTAAAATATTCATTGAATAGTCATAATGCAACACATGCTAATTTGGAATAAGACTCTTAAATAATGAGCTAGTACACACATGGAATGAGTTATAAGCAAGAAGAAAACAATCAGAGAATAAGAAGAAACAAAAGGAGTAAAGAAAATGACCAATGAGTAATATAAATAAAATAGATAATGAAAAGAAGATTGGATAAATAAGATATAAAATAGGAGTGAATAATTAATGAAAATGAGATAAAGAAAAATATTTCTAAAGATTATAAAAATAAAAAGGGTTTTAAGAGAAAGAAAGAGAGAAAGAGAAAAATCAAATGACAGAACCACAAGGTTTTGATCCCACAAAGTTTAAATTAATTACACGAAATGTTCTTACAGAATACAAAGAATTACCAAATGATTTAGCACGTGTTCAACGATCAATGAAAGAAGAAGATCATCCATTTGCACAAGCACGAGAATATAAACGAGCACTAAATGCAACAAAATTAGATAAAATATTTGCTAAACCATTTATAGGGAATTTAGCAGGACATCCAGATGGAGTAACATGTATAACTCGAACAGGAAATGAAATATCATATATGGCAAGTGGAGGATATGATGGAGAAGTAAGAGTATGGAATGTTGGAACAAAACAATGTTTGTATACTATTCAAGCACATGACACAGTTTGTAAAGGAATTAGTGTTTCTACAACAAAAATACCATATATTGTTACATGTTCAACAGATCATACATGTAAATTATGGCCATTATCAATTTCTACAGAAGAAGATAGTAAACCAGCAAAAGTAAATGCACCATTAATGACATATAATCATGAAATACCATTTTCATGTATTGATACAAGAAGGGAAACAGAAGATTTTTGTACAGGAACAAGTGAAGGACTTGATTTATGGACATTTAGTCGAAATGAGATTGTACAACATTATGATACAGAAACAGATGGAGTTTTAGGATGTAAGATTAGTCCAACAGAAAATAATGTTGTTGGAATAACAGGAGGAAATCGAAGTATTATATTAATTGATCTTCGAGCAAATACACCAATTAAAACAGTTTATGGAGTAAGAAGATATAATGATTTATCATGGAATCCACAACAAGTATATATGTTTACTGCATGTAGTGATGATTGGAATCTTTATACATATGACATAAGAAGACTTAATGAAGCACGTACAATTCATAAAGGACATCTTGGACCAGTACTTACAGTTGATTATTCACCTACAGGAAGAGAATTTGCTACAGGGTCATATGATAAATGTATTAGAATTTATAATGAATGGTGTGGATATGCAAGAGATTGTTATCACACACAAAGAATGCAAAAAGTGTTTAATGTTTGTTATAGTGGAGATGGTCATTATATATTTAGTGGGTCTGATGAAGGAAATATTAGAATATGGAAAGCATTTGCAAGTGAATCAACTAAAATTAAAGATAAAAGAGAAATTGCCAAACTTAATTATCTTAATGGATTAAAAAAGAAATATAAAGACATGCCAGAAATTAGAAGAATAGCAAATCATATTCATCTTCCTAAAGAATTAATGCATACAAAAACAATTAGAGATACAATGATTCTTAGTGAAAAGAAGAAAGAATTAAATAGAAAGAAACATGCTAAAAAAGAAAGAAAAACTAAGAAAGA